ATACCACGGGAGCAGAGGTTTGCGAGTTAGGCGTCCTCCTGAAGAATCGCCCTCTTGCAGTGTGTCTCATCTCTACTCGCAGATAAACTGCATGGAAATCTTTACCGTAAATGGTAGAGAGTATGTGTGGTTACTGTGGGCAGACACTCTTGGATGACTGGGCTGGTGAATAGTACATGATGTTTTGTCTTGACGAAGTCTCTTTTCAGTACAGGACTTCAGCCATAGAGCTGCCATGAGTGAGTCAGAGCTGAACGCATGAATGTACGGTTTGGGTGATTGGACTTACCATTTTCTTTCAAACATTGCCCAAAATACGGTCCATTTTCATTAAAGCAAATAGTCTTTTTGCTCAATTATCTTCTTTATGCCTTTTTAACTGCTTGAGAACAATACGGCTCTCTGCACCATAACTATTTGTGACTGGTGCTGTTAGGCCTCTCAATAATTTCCCTTAGAACTTTATCCTCTGCTTGTACCGGTTTCATCTGGTAAATGCCTTAAATTTCTTTGTTAGCCCTGTCATTCCTTAAACAGTGTTTGAATTGCTGCGTGTTTATTTTTTTTTTCTCCTTTGGTCGAAGTGAGCTGCTTATGAGGGTGCTCCAGCTCCTCTTCTGCAGCACCCCAGGGAAATGGATCCCAAACGGAGCGTGCCAGAGCCTTCAGACAGTCCCACCGTACTTCAGGTTCCTATGAAGACTTTCCAGTTGTATCTGCTTGGATGTGCAGAAGTTATCCTTAACTTGATGATAACAAGCTGGATTCCAAAAACACCTTGAAATGTGGTCTTGAAAGAAATAAACTGGGGGCGGGGGGAGGAGGGTGGTGTCCGGACTTACCTGTTTCTGATTGCGTTAATAAGATAACCTAGCTGGTACTTGCTGTGGTGTCCCCTAGACTTCATGTAAGATCTCTTTGCAGTCCTATTTCTTTAAAAAAAAAAAAAAGCCAACACATTGGGGCAGCTCAGCTCTGAAGCTACTGTCTAATAATCTTATTAATAGGTCATTTAATTAGGTGTGGGATTTTTTTCTCTGAACCACCTTCCCATCTTGGTTTCCAATTATTATTGCTTTTCTGGTAAGGTGAGGAGAAATTACATCCGAACGTGAGAAAACTCCTTCACTGCAAGGGTGGTTGAGCCCTGGAACAGGCTGCATAAGGGGCTTGTAGAGTTGCCATCCTCAGAGGCATTCGAAACCCAGCTGGACGCAGTCCTGGGCCAGCTGACCCCGCTTCGAGCAAGAGGGTTGCTCTCGATGATCTCCAGAGGTCCCTTCCAACCTCGGCTGTTCTGTGATTCCGAGAAGGCTGCAGGGCCCGCTCCGGACACGTGCTGGAGTATGGAGGAAAGGAGGAACGCGCGTTGCAAGGCCCCTTGTTGTGGAGGAAGTCCCTGATAAGGCTGTGTTCACTGTTAAACTGATGATTATTTTTTTTTAACTGTAAGGGAGTTTGTTTTGTATAACTCACTGAAAAAAGGAGGGCTTTCTCTAGCATTGTTTCATTAACTATGGCTAAGGTGAGGAAACAACTCGGAATGAGCCCTGCAAAAGCACCTAAGTGTTGTATTACAAGCATTGCAGCACTTTGCAGGACAGCAAGTTTCAGGATCAAATCCCTTCTCTGCTGAAGACGGTTCAGCCGTATCTTCCCTTCCCTCGCCCTTACTGTAAGACCATCTCAAAATGCACTTTCAGTGGTGTTCCCCAGTAGCAGACCTAGCAGCTGAGCTGTGCGGCTTCTGGCACTGTCGCTGCCATTAATCACCTCCTGCCACGCGCAGTTTTCATCTGTGGCTGCAGCCTGGGCTGCTGGTTGCTTGTTTCTAGGGCTTTCGCCTGTTCGGGGGAGAAGACACCCAAGATCAGGAGCTACTCGCAAGGGTCAGAGCTCTTGAGCAGGGAGCTATTGCTTTAGCTCCAGTCGAGCTCAGCCGTGTAACTCCAGTGTAGCCCCGTGGTGGGTTTTATGGTCTCGGCAAGGCAAGTATAAATTTCCAGTATGCTCTGTCTAAAGTGCTCTGAAGACTCTAGTGCCTTGAGTTCGGGAGGCCAGGTGCTTGTGGTGCGCTTGGCCTCCTCTGGCCTGGAGAGGTCTTCCCGCGTTTCTTTAACCTGCTTTGTAGTGATGTTACGTGGATCAGTAGTGACCTCATCGGCCTTAAAGCTGTTAGTGCTGTCATCAGCACTGATAAACCTTTACAAATTGCCATGGCAAACTGTATTTTGGTTTCTGGGGGAAAATAACTTCAGTCCTTCCAGGCTATACCTTTTCTTTGCCCATATTCGTTACTGTTAGTAATGTGATACAAACCGAACTGACGAGGAAGATGTTCTGGATCAGCTTTTGTTACCACGTGTCCTCTTGCTGATTTATCTCTTCCATTACCTTTGTTTCAACAGTATTGCAGAAATTCATCTGCAAAGCCCTTGCAACTTCTTACTTGAACTACAATGTCTCTTTCCAGCCCTCCCTTCCTAAGTGTCCATCCAAATGTATCTCCCATCCTTGTGCTTTCACTGTGTCCTTGTACTGGCTCTCCCCAGCGCTCTGAGCTGTTTGCTCCTTGTTCCGACTTTCTTAACTCCTTTTTGACAGTCTGTTCTGCTTCCTGGCCTTTCTTTTCTTCTGGCTGCTGGAGACGGGGTCCTCCTCTTCTCTCACCTCTTTCCAAAACCTTACTCTTCATGCTACCTGTGCAAGACTCAGCAGTGCTAGTGCTGCAAGAGCAGCAAGGGGGTATCATCCAGTAAAAGCAAAACTCCTTGTAACGTGCAGCAGGGAGACTTTGTTAACGTTTATTAGATCGATATATTCTTGGAACCTTCGTTGGAGAATATCTTGGCTGCTGCTGCTGACACTCGTTAGGTGCCATGGGCTAGTTTCTGAAGAGCACGGCAGAAGTTGCTACTTCCCTTCTGTTGAGTTGTGAAGCTTTTTAAAGACGGTGGAGCAGAGTGGGCATCTCGTGTCTGTTTAAGGAATCCACCTCCTTCTCTCCTAGAGAGAATACAGATAAGCTACTTTTCCTCTCCCCCCCTCTTCTCACCCCCCACCCCCGTTATCTTGGCGGATGATGCCAGACATCAAACTCCTGGCTAAGGGCAAAAGGATGGACAGTAGGATGATTTTTTTGTTGGTTCTCCCCAGTTGTACTTCCAGAATAGAATTTCACTAGACTAGAGTTTCTGGGATGCTGAGCAACTGGATATATGCTATGCCTGAGGCTTTGGCTCTTCCATGGAGCAGGTTCAATAGCATTATCTGTGAAATGCGAAGTCTTGATGTTCTTTGCCTGGAGATATGCTTGGACATACGATCCAGGGCTGTACAAGCCTCTGACCCTGCGGTGTGAAGGAGGGAAGGGTCATATCCACTTTGCAGGTGGGGAAACTGAGGAACAGACTTGATCAGGTAGTCAGCAATGAAGCTGGGATTTTGTGCTGAGCTTCTGTGGCCGAGGCAGCGGGTTCCTCCTGGAGGTAAAGGCTTCCTAAGCTGCCGGGAGGACTGGACACGGCAGCCGCTGTTGGGGGCGGGAGGTGGGAGGGAAGGGCAGAGCTTTATGCTTCCTGTCTTCAACTTGGCTGAGAGCATCTGTGATCACACCTGGACTTTTTTTCCTTCTTTTCAGGGATGCTTGAATACGACCCAGCCAAGAGATTTTCAATACAGCAGATAAGGCAGCACAAGTGAGTGTTCAGCTTCTTCCTATTAGTCATTCTCTTTCTGCTTCTTATGCTAATGTACCTGTGCTATTGCTCTCAACTCATTTTTCCTTTTGACAGCAGACACATGGAAGTCACTAGATATCCTTCCTCCGGCTCTGCTGGAGCTCTGGCAACCTCTACTTGGCTTTTTTCCTCCTATTAGAGCATCCGGTTCAAGCATTTGAATTGCTAACCGGTAAATAATGAATATGTTGAAAATGTTTCTAGTGTGACTGGTTCTCGATAACTAAGGGTTCTGGATAATTTTTTCCAGAGGTCAGCTAGTACTAATGGAGCAGAAGAACAGGGGTTCCTTAAAGCTGGGTTATTGAACTAGGACCGTTTAGTAATGTATGTTAGTTCTGGTTTTCTGGACAGTCTGGTGACAGAAATATCCCTTGGTATTTGCTCCATATGGAATCAGTATGTGGAGAAGCGTTCCAGGACAATAGGAAAATTTTTTTTTTCCTTTCTCTTTAATGTCATACTCCTCCCTCCTCCATATCCTCCCCCTTTATCCTTGCCATTGTCTGGGGGGGGAAGGCCCCGTTATCTCTGAGGGTTTTTTTTTTTTAAAGGATCTGTTTGAACATGCTGCCTCTGAGCAGAGATTTCCTGGGCGGATAAAAGTACAAGAACAAAAAGCATCATAAGGATGCTTCATCGCGGAGGCTGCATTAGCTTATCTCCTATTTGAATAGGAAGTGCTTCTGAGGACACACAGAGCTGCCTGCTGGACTGCAGCTGCTCGGCAGAGGCCCTGCCTACAAGCTTGCCCAGAAAGCTTTTGGGAACCTTGTAAAAACAAGGCTCTGATCCTGGAAGGTGATGGGCCTCCTTTGTGCTGCCTGCAGGCAGGAAGAGCGCTATTTTCTTGTTGCGTCTCTGAAAAAAAACCAGCAGCGGTAGCTGTGTGCTGTCAGATGACGATCCCCGGTGGATGTCATGGCATGGGAGGCATCTGCAGGAGCCACGGAACAAAACCTGACAGGCTTGAGCGGCAGCGGCGTTCTGCAGAGGAGCAGCTGTGACCTACCCCTGATGAAGATCAGAAGATGAAAGAGGCTGGAGAGGCAGGTCTTTATGCAGCTGCCTGGTCAATTAATTAAGCAGTCAGGCTGGCTCTTTTAAATAGTAGCCAAGCACTGTGCATTGGGTGTTTCACTGGGTCTGGGAGATGATAGGAGCAGGCATTTGTTTTTCAAGGCCGCCTTTCCCCATGCACATGCCTCCCAGTAACAGTGGGCCATGAAAGAGGCTGCTTGGGGCTGCCTCTGAAATGCCACGTGGCATTTAAAGCACCGTATAGAGCTGGTCTTCAAAACAATAGCTCCTGCTGTTACTGACCGTCCTCCCGTCTACCACTGAGGGCCAGAGCGCTTCGAGCTAGACAGCAAAGCACTGTACGCTTCTGTACTTGGGAATGAAGTAGCTCTCCTGTTGATTACAGCTAGCGTAGGGTGGCGATCAGCTTGCCACGCAGTCAAACAGATGCTTTGTCAGTAAGCACTGTGAAGAGGCACGGCAGGAATGAAGTCTATGGAGTACGTTAGTAGGTGTTGAGAAAAGCACTGGGAGCGCTTTCTTTCCTATCAGCGCTGTGGGTCCAAAGGCTGCAGTGAGCTGGCCCTGAGCTCGGGGCAGCGTGGCTGGTTCCCACGGGTCACTATCTGCTAGGTATTTGAGCTAGTTCTCCAACTCTGTGTACTTGATGTTACAGTTCTCCCATGTGGCAGTGAGTTTTTGCGTCAGCTTTGCCCAGCTGGAAGCAAAGAGGTTTCTCTGGAGACCCTGCCTGTAGTTAGAAAGCAGGAGAAACTAGAGCGTGCTTCTGGCACGGAGGGCGGCCGCGAGCCTCCCGTGCTCCGCAGGCACAGCCTGCCCTCTAATTGGGCCCAGCTGCTGGTGGCCAGGCTTTTCATCTCCTAGCTCTGAGAGGGGCTGAAGACAGACTCTACCTGCAAACGCAGGAGCGTTTCCAAGGCTTAGTCTCTTATTAGTTTTCTGTGAGCTTAGCCAGTGCTTCTTAACAGGCTTTTCTCCCCTATTAGTAATTGCCTCCTTCCTCCTGCTGCGGCATCCTAATAATTACATCAAGCACAGCAGAGCTTGCAGCCTTGGGCTTTGGATGTGTCTGTCCATCTCCTTTTTGTGGAGTAGCATTGTGCTAAAGAATCCAGTGTTTGATTCTCTTGGCTCTTCTTTAAATAGAAGAGAAGCTTAGCCCTTACGTTTAACCCGACCCTGTTTAGTTTGTTTTTTTTTTTTAATTGAACAAAGCGATTGGAAGGACAGCAGGTAGCCATCAGATATTTTTGGGAGGGTTTTTGGAAAGCATTTTAGTAAGAAAAGACTTGATTTCTAGAATCCTTATATTTCGTGGGCGGGGGGGGAGTCATAGTCATTAATGATTTTGGGTTTCTCTGCACTCCTTCCACAAAAGCACGTGTTAAGGCACAGGAACTAGACTATAGAAACATCAAGCGACTTACTGGGCTGCCCTGCTGAGATGGATACTGGCTCAAACCAGAATTACCCAGTGCCTTTCCGTGCTGCTGGAAGCCTCCTTTTATGTCTTTGAGCTGATGTTACTGGTGACTTGCTCATACGGACAGTCGAGATTATCAAAGCGCACTGAAAATCAACAGAAATGGCCCCCATGCCCTGGGCAGCGCTTTTTGCAGTGGAGCCAAACGCCGCTAGACCAGGCCCGTGTCGGCGCGATGGGAAGGGGCCGCGTTCCCCTCTCCCGCGGGAAGGGCGATCCCAAGGGAAGCGTCACAGGGCAGGCGTCCTGCGGCCGTGGACCTGGGCGCTCAGGATCCATCCAGAGCCGGATAAACAGCTCACGCTTCACCTTCCATACCGTGATGTTTCTTGCTCTTGTAGTGGGATCAAGGATAAAAGGCTTAATCGGTGGGCCAGGGGAAACACCGAGGAAGTGTTGAGCGTTGCTCTGTGAGGCAACAGAGCTGCAGGAGGCAGAGAAGGCGGCCAGGCACGTGTTTATTGCGCGGCGATGGCAATTCTGCCATTCCTCCCTTTATTCTTGTCAGCTACTCCAAATGTTTCCCCCCCTGTAGTGGCAGCCCTGTCTGAAGAACGCTGTAGGAAGAGTCTGCTTAGTTTTATAGCTGCCAGCTGCCTTCCTCCTCTCCTCGCTTCTGTAGCTAAACTCTTGCATCAAACCCCTGTTTCTGCAGTTTGTTTTAATGCAGCCGAACAAAGCTACATCCTCTTCTTCTTCGCTTTCAGAGGCTTTTCAAACCTAGCCAATCTGTGCAGCGCAGACCTGCGAGTTGTAAATTGAAATGAATTAAAACTCTCTCGGCCTGTCAGCTACGAGTTTATGAACTGCCAGAAGCTGACCCCTGAATAACAATGGAAGAGCCTTGAAACCTGCTCTTCCCAGAACGATCTGGATAGGACGATGTTCGATGGAAAACTGACACTTTGGGTTCACCTCTGAATATGTTGTACCCCTGGGGTGAGGGCGCGGGGCAGTGAGGAGAAGCTGCCAAGAGCCAGGGAGTTAGCAACCTGCTCCCTATAGATTATGCACCATCTCCTCTACACCCTGTGCTTTTGCTGAAGGGCTTAGCGCTTGTATACTGCATTTCGTAACTAATTCACTGACCCTGCTGCAGCACTTAAAGTGATGAAGTGGATGCAGAATTCTACCTCTGTCCCTTGTTTCCAAGGCAACCATCTTGCCTTCCTTCTCCAGAAGTGTCACACTTAATTTGTGCAGTCATAGATACGATTGCAAGAGTTCATAGCAAGAAAGGGAAGGCACTTACACCTTTTATTAGTGGAGGTGCAAATTAATCTGCTGGGCTAGTGTCTCCTCCTGACCTCCTGGCGGCTGCTGGGCCACCTTCCCCAGTGCTTTTGCTCACCCCCGACTCCTCCCCGGAGGTCTGGAGGGTTGCTGTTGGATGCTCTGCCGTGCTCTTCAAATCCCGGGTACTGAACCCCCTGGAAATCTGTGTTTGTTGCCGCTGTGGATTCCTTGCAGGTGCCGAGTGTGCTCCTTGACTCCTGCGCCTGCATTTGAGGGAGCGAGAGGGCTTCCCTTAACCTCTGCTGCTGCAGGTGTACTCACAGGCTTTTCCCATCCCTTGTCCGTGGTGTCGTGCAGTAATCTCCCCTCGGCAGGTCACGCACACAAAAAAAAAACCCCACTCTTCTTTCTTGCTGAGGCACCTGTGTCTGCTGTCCTTCCCTGCGGCAGGCACACGGAAGGAATCTTTGGTTCTTCTACCCACGTTCTGCAGATCAGTTTCATAATGCAACTCTGTGGCGTGGTAGAGGATGTCAGTCTCCATCTGTGCACAGAACACCTCTCCTCGTAGGAGTCTGAACTGTCGCCTCTGGCCCCAGCATCAGCTAGGGGGAAACTGCTTCTCTTTCTTACTCATTTCTATTTTTTTGTGAGCCTGACTTAAGAACTTGGACATCTCTTGATAGTACAGGAGTTGGAGCAGCGACTGTAGGGATGTGGCTATGTATTTACTGCTAGCATGTGTTGCCTTTCCCCAGGACGTGGTGTTGTGTGCCTTCCACGTTCGTCTGCGCGAGGACTGAATTAAGCTGGAACGCTATTAGCTGCTGCTTGTGGTGACAGTGACCTTCCAGTAAGCTTGAAGCCCTTACATGGTATCACGGGAGGTGGAGCATCAGCCCTAACCGATCCTGGCTGGCAGGGCGGTGATCTGCAGCTTGGCATCTGGTTTCAGAGAAAATTGTCCATATACAAAACAAGCAAACTGAAATATTTGTGACCTAGAATGGGAAGTGAATTAGCTGTAAGTATTTAGAAGCTGCAGCTGTGCTTACTGATTCTTATTTTAACCTTGCTTATGCCAGAACTTGAAAAGAGCAGGGTGATGACTTCTGATGTAAAATTCGAGCTTGGAAGCTGCAAACCAGGCAGGCTCATTAAGCATTGGTCAACCCGGGTTCCTTTTTTCATTCAGTCCTTGACCCTTGCTGTCTTATCTCCCTGTAGATTACAGCAACCCATCTGGACCCAACTTCTTAACTGGCAGGATCACAATCAATACTGGTGCCACTGCTGTCTGGAGTTTCTGTGCTTTGCAGGCATTCTCTACAAGCTTGCAAAGTAGTAAGAAATGATCTCTTACTACTGCTCCCTTCACTCTGTTTCAAAGGGCTGGGAGCAGCTAAGAAATGTTGCACAGACCAGGGAGGAATCTGCCTCTTCCAGGGGATGTTCTGGACAAGAGGCGCTTCCGAGATCTGCAAAAGCCTTTCTTTTCCCTTGCTGTTGAAGCAGCAGTCTGCGAGCACCAGGTAAATGGCTGTGTTTGTGCCAGGGCAGTTGGCTCGGAAAATATCGGTGAAACTGGGAGTAAATGGTGAAATAGGGCACTCCGTCAGCAGTGCTCCAGTCCGGCCTGTGTTTTAGGGCCAGCGGTGGAGGCAGGGTGAGGAGGGACTTTATCTTGTCTGCATCGCTGACCGATGGGACAGTTGCACTGCGGGAGAGCAGCTGCTTTCTGGCTTAGTCAGTGGCCAGTAGCTTCTTGAGCCAGATTAGGGCATTTGATGGAGCCAGTGGTCCTCAGCTGAAAAGCAGATCTTCGCTAATAACGTTTAGCACCGGTGCAGAGAGCAGAATCTCTGTCCCTGGTGGAAAATTGCTTGCCAGGAAATACTCTGCTGCTCCATACAGAATTGCTTGAGGCTCCTTCCAAGAGGTCTTTGATTTTCTTAGAACTTCAATGAATTTCTCTCCTCACTCTATATCCTCATTACCATATATGCATATGCGACTATTTGAAATCACCTCCCAGAGGATGGAATCGTTATGACTAGAGTACAGTGATTCAGGTTTCTGCTGTTAATAAAAACCTATTTTTACTCTCCTGGTAAGTAGGACAGAAGGAAAGAAAGAGGCAGAGCTGAAATACAGCAAAATAAAAACACTAGTTCCTATAGACTTCTAGGCTTTCTCCCTTTAAAACACTCCTTTTCGTAACAGTCATTCTGATCTCGTTTGCCCTGCATATGCCGTTCTCCTTAGGTCCCTGGCATTTAGTTTGGGTCTCTCGAGCTCCAGTGCCCCTGGCAGAAAGAGCTGGCTGTGCTGGGTCTTCTGTTCCTGTGCTAGATGATCCTGCCAGGCTGGATCAGCCCAGGCTGAATTTGCTCTCTTGGCAGTCGCTTCCTTGATGAAAGCAGTCTCCCAAGGAAAGGAAATCAAATGATCAAATTAGGAGTGCTGTGTGCCATGCACATCACCAAGGAAGCCATCCACAGGGCTTGCTAAAACCGTTGGCCAAAATCTAGTTAGGTTGGACCTGCTCGCTTCCTGCTCGCCCAGGAGCTGGGATGACATTTTACTTAACTCTTGTGATGCCGCTTCCTGCACCAGAGGTCGTACGTGGCAAATTGGATCTGCCTTCAGTTCTCTGTCGCTTTCCTAAAACGCGCTGCTCTCGCCACGGCTTCCCGGGTAGTCGTGCTATGGCCGCGGAAGAAACGCCAGTAGATCCACGTCAGCGCGTTAACTGGAGCGCGCCGACCTCATCGCTGTTTGGGGTGTTGTCCATCGGCTCAGACTGGAAGCACGGAAGGATGGAACGTGATTCCTTGCATGACGCTGACATGCTCTGCGATTAACCAAAATACGTTTCCTCTGAAAGCTTGAGGCTATAGGGACTGCTTCGGTCTCTCTTACTGCAAATGGCAAGACGCTGCCTTCCTCAGAGCTGCAGGCTGGCTTTGGAACTCCGTCACGACAGAGAAAACGGTTTGAGGATGCTAATTGTGAAGCAGGGTTTCTGGATAAGGGTTCACTCTTCCTCTGAACCCTAGCTGATTTGTCCCAGTAGCTACATTTTCATTTGTTTATCTCCGAACTCCTTGCTTTTGCTGGATAGTTTTGTTAGATTGCCACTTCTTTTTTAGGCCTACTGTCAAAGCAATGTAAGACTAGAACAAAATTATAATTACCATTCTTCTGTGCAGGAGGTGCATCCAACCCTTACTTCCTAAAATGAATTTGGAACTGGAGTGATAAAAACCAGATGGTTCAGGTTTATAAGAGCTCTTTGGTGGCTGGCTTCAGGCCCTCCTCAGTGGTTATGAGCCGGGAGTTACTGGATGCCTGTGCAAACTACGGAGGGGAAGCACTCGTGTCACGTCGGGCTTCTCTAGGGCAGCAGTCGTCAGGCAAGAAGTGAATGTGCCATGAGGGGATAATTTTAGATCTTGCTCTGCTTTTGAGGTGTGTTTTCAGAGAGACCTTAAGTTGCTTCCTAAAGCAGCACCCTTTTGTGGCCTAAAGTAAACTTTGAGAGGGGGAAAAGGCTTAGGCTTCCTAGGCTGCCTCCTGCTGTGAAAGACCCCGAACGTCCCGTTGTGCAGGTAAGTGGCATCTACAGAGTATTTAGCAAGGTGAGCACAAGAGTGCAGTTGATCTGGTGAGGCTTTTCTGTCCTTTGTTACTGGGCAAAGGCCAGGAAGAATGGGTCCCAGTGGCTTAACTGACATCCGACCCACGGCGTGGAAGTAGGGCGTTGATATCGCTGCCAATTCAAAAGTTTATCAGGAAAGCAGGCTGCGGTTCAGGAGGTGGTCCTAAACGTGGGAGGTTTTGATGCTTTCTGACCCGTCCTTCGTGTAGAATGGCCCTCCAGGGCAAGGCGTAAGTAAGAGCCTGATGAAGTGCCTCTGTAGGACAGCCTCCCTGCTAGCAGGGGCAGCCAGCTGCTGGGCACACCACCCCCAAGGGCAGCGGAACAGCACCCTTTGTCGGGGAGGGAGCGACTGGATGGCCATCGCCTGACCTCATTTGCTAGCCATAGGCAGCTGATTTCCCCTGCCACGGGATGCGTCGCAGGGGGAGCGAGGAGGAGCAGGAGGTGCATGGGCTGGAAAGGCGTGTTAGAAGTACCCAGGTCTGGAGGAACTTCTGTTCACACCTGCGTTCAAGAGAGGATCGGTAGGAGTGCGGAGGTTCCAGCAGTACTTGTAGGAAACTTCCGATGCCCACGTGCAGAGCTGATGGATGTCCCAGAGTCTGGTGCTGGAACCCTGCTATGAAAGTACGGTAAAAATGTAAGAGGCCACCCGTATGGCTTCTGAGATGCTGATGTGATCCGAGCCTATTGGATTCTTGATCTGATTAAGAGCAGCTTTCGGAGCTGATATCCTTTACTGGGCAGATGGTAGCGCTATGGCTGCTGGTTTTAATGGTAATAGAAGTCCCTTGAGACAGAGGTGGGATAAGAAGATAAAGCATAAGCATTTTTGCTGTGGTCTTGTTGAAAACTGCCTGTTAAAGGCGCTTGCGAGTCGATACCACTCTCCTTAGGCTGACGTTCTGCAACCTTTCTTTTGTCTTGTTGCGCTGGATTAGCCTCAACGTGAGAACCGAAGTTTCTCCTCTTCTGCTTGCTTTGGCAATACAACTCGGGAGCTCTAGCAGCTCTAATAAGGTGTTTTGACTTAGAGGTGGGTAGTTTGGGCTTGAGTTGTTGATGGAGAACGTGTTCCCGCACTCTGTTTCCAGGCAGACCCGTTAGTTTCTCCTTAGCTGACAAAGCGCCCAGTGGATGGAGCACCTTCCTGGGGTGGCTTACGCGGCTGTTGCTGTCCCTGCGGCGTTGTCAGCAAGACAGACTTGCCTTTCTTGACAGTCGCCTCTCTTGGTTACTACGCATTAAAAAACCTGCAGTGGCATAAAACCAGCTAGGAAGTTTTCCATAAACAAACTGCCCATGCCTTTGAGTGTTGGGGTGGAATGGGACCATCTCGTAGCGTCAAGGATTTCTCCGTGCCTTCTGTACTGACGGAACTCTGCTCTTGGACTCTTTGCAGTTGGTTTCGTAAGAAACACGCTCAGGCAGAGGCTCTGGTGCCCATACCTCCCAGCCCAGAAACGAAGGACAGGTGGAGAAGTATGACGGCGGTGCCTTATCTGGAAGATCTGCATGGCTACAATGAGGAGGAAGATGATGACTTGTATGACATTGAAGATGATATCATCTACACTCAGGACTTCACAGTACCAGGTAGGAGAGAATGATGCTGGGATGGGTAGGGCAGAAGTGGCTTTTTTTTGTCTGTTTAAAGCTTTTTAGGAGAGGCCTTGAGGTCTGAATAATCCTTTCAGCGGTGGAGGAGACTATTGATTATTAAGTGGTGCGAGTGACGCATAGTGAGTGAGCCATGGTGCTCCGGATGCCTCGGTCTCTTATTTGATCAACCAGGATGCCCCTTCCTGCCTGCTACCCATATGCCAATTTCCGTCCTTCATCAAGTAATGGCTTGCTCCTGCTGGACTCTGTTTAGCACATTTAATTCTTTTGGCCAGTTTTGCTAGGCTGAGTTATTTTGGAGCAGAGCCCTAAAATGACTCAGTGTTCAGAGTAGATGGCACATCTGGGGAAGAAGGGTGCTTGTAGCCTTACACTGAGACCTTTTTTCTGCTCCAGTCGTGGTAACTATCTGGTTACAGAATTGCTTCTTTCTTTATTTGGGATTTCCTGTTGTTTTGAGGTAAGCAGACCAGTAAGGACAGGGGTGTGTGTGGTTTTAACCACGCTGTTCTTACAAAGTGGTGGTAATCAAGTAGCTTTCCTTCTTCGGCCGTTCTGTACCTGTAAGCCACGTAGCTTGTGAGCAGAGGGCTGAAGGGCATGTCTGCGGTAAGACCAAAGACAAAGGCTGCTCGCTTTGCCGTCAGTGCAGCAGCGGTACTGTATGATCACGGCAGCAGTTTCTTTGTCTCGCTGCCTGGGTTCTCACTGCCTACATCAACAGAACACGAGTTCCTAGATTAAGTGCTCCAGCCTAGCTCAATTGTCTTGGAGGGAAGGTTTCACGTACTGTCTGTAGGGATGCTGATTTACTTTACCACGGTGTGATTAGAGATACCTGCGACTGACCTTTCCTCGTGGTAAGGAAAGCCCTGGTTTCTGCAGTTCAAGACTAACCAAACTGCTCTGGCTTTCCCTTGATGATGGCCTGGTGGGCTTCTGTGGGCCTGAGTAAAAGCAAGGTCTGGTTTTACCAAATCTTGCACCTGAAGACCTTGGTTTTTCTCTTGGTTTCCTGGTTAGGCGGAAATTGCTTTTTTGAAGCACTATCATGGAGGAATAAAGTGTCACGCCTTGAAGTGTAATAAGCCTCAAATTGTACCCAATGCTCAAAATTTCTTTGGGCAACAACTTGAAACAAGATTGGCTTCCGAGGCAGCGCCTTCCAAGGGGAGAAGGGGAGAGGCTGCTTTGCGCCCAACTGGCTAAGCCAGCGCTTCGCTCCGTGCTGTACGGCATCCTTGGGTGACAGTCCCCAACAGGGTGTCTCTTCAGATGTTCAGCCGAACGGATATGTAGGTGGGTCGGAGGTGGAGCCTGCCAAGATGAAGAGAGTCTCATCAAAGTGAAATAGATTTATTTCCAAGTGCTGATTCACTGGTGACAGTCGGGTAATTTATAACCTTTTCTAATAGAGCTAATGTCCCAGCGCCAGCTGGGTGACCTGCAGAGCTCTGTCCTTTGCTCTCTTCTTACATCCCGCAGACTTTTGTGCTAGAATCTGACCGGGGCCGGGCCTTTCCTCACAGCTTAGTGGAGGCTTTTTGAAAGGAGAGATCCTCTTAAAAATGCGATAGACTCGCTGAAGCACATACTTGATTGCTAGGGCCTTTCTGAGTACAGAAGCAGGAGAGAAGAGGACTTGCCTGATGCTTTCCCCGTTGTCAGAGGTTGGCCGTTTCCCTCTGCAAGAGCTCTCGCTGGGAACAGCCCATGCATAAGGGCCCCAGACTTAATTCTGCAGAAGCGTTGGGGCTGGAAGCCCCGTCACAGGCAGTGGGGCCTGAGCATAATGATGAGGCTGCCAGGCTTGAAAATCCATAACCAGCATCGCTTGCATCCCTTTCTAATTTTACATTTTCCTTTCTGAACTGGCTTCGAGAGGCAGAAGGAAGGTATGGTTGTGCCCGTAACCTCCCTTGGAGGGCCAGCCTTCCAGGAGGATAACCTCTGTGAGAGTGGATCTGTTGCTCTTGGTACTTGACTATCTCACAGCCAACCCAAGAGCCCACAGGACAGTCTCTTACTGCTTTTTTGGCGTCAGTCTAGAGAATAAGCATGTGCATGTCTCTAATGGTGCTCTGTTGCTTCCCTGTGCGTTCCCAGCTGCGGAGGAGGAAGCTGAGGCAGGGCTTAGAGGACAGAGTGGAGCACTGAGCAGTCATGGCGAGCTGTTCGGAGAGGAAGCCGTGCTCCCATCGGCCACGGGCGCAGAAGAGGAGCGTGAAGCTTAGCCTAGGCCCCAAAGCCACTGCCCTCTTGGGCTTCCCGTGGCCTCAGCTAATGGCAGCGGCTGGAGAGTGCAGGATCATCTCCTTGCTTCCCCAAGCT